GGAAATATGGGTACACATATATTTATAAACATATATTGTCCTATTAAAATATTGCTTATGAATGTAAATCTTTTACTGATTATACCTCTTAGTTTATTAACTTCAATGGTTTAGGTTTTTGTTGTTGTTGTTTTCTTTGTTTTCAAAGTGCTGGGGGTTAAACCCAGGATTTTGCATTTGTTAGGCAAGCACTCTACCACTGAGCTACATCCCCAGCCTCTAATAGCTTGTTGTTAAAAAGGATTCTTTTACTTCCAATGTAAAAAAAAAGAAAAAGAAAGAAAAGAAAAGAAAAAAAAGGAAAAAAAGAAAGAAAGAAAGAGAGAGAAAAACAAAAAAAATATATGAGCAAATATTGAGGAAAACAAGTAAAGAGGGTTTTGGCATAATCAGGGACATGGAAAGGCCCCAAAGTCCATTGGATAACTATAAAATCTACTTTACAAACAATAGGTTCTATCCAGCTTCAATACAATCCCCAACAAAATACCAATGACATTCTTCACAGAATTAGAAAACACAGTCCTAAAATGAATTTGGAAGAACAAATGACCAGAATAGCTGAAACAATTCTAAGGCTAGAACACTGCTGACGGCATCACAATACCAGATTTTTAATTATACTACAGAGTTATAGTTAAAAATTTTAAAAATAAGAAATAAATAAAAATTTAAATAACATGATACTGGCATAGACACAGACACAGACCAATAAAATAAAATAAAATAGAAAACTCCGTCAAACACAGATACAACAATTTGATCCTCAAAAAGTCATCAAAAACATACATTGCAAAAGACAGCTTTTTTTTTTTTTTTTTTTTTTACAAGTAGTGCTGGGAAAACTGGTTATCCATATGCAAAAGAATGAGACTAGTTTTTTTTTTTTTTTTTTTTATCTCTCTCCCTGCACAAACTTTAACTCAAAATGAATCAATGAGGTAGGAATTAGACCAGAAACTTTGTGACTCCTAGAAAAATCATAGGGTCAACACTCTCAAAATAGAGGCAGAGGCAATGACTCAATAGGACTCCTAAAGCTTAAAATACTAAAAATTAATAGATAAGATGAAATCAAATTAAAAAGCTCCTGCCCAACAAAGGAAACAATTAAGACTGTGAAGAAATAACCTACAGAACGGGTGAGAATTTTTTGCTATCTACTTTTCTGACAAACAATTAATATCCAGAATGAAGAAATCAAAAACTTAATATCAAAAAAAGAAAGAACCCAGTTAATAAATGGGTAAATAAAGTAAATAGACACGTCCAAAAAGAAGAAATACAAATGGCCAACAAATATATGAAAATATGTTCAACATCTTTAGCAATCAAAGAATCAAAAATAAAAACTACACTAGGATTTTTATCTCATTTTAGTTAGTATGAGAGGAATCAAGAAGACAAGAAGTAATAAATACTGGTGAGAATGTGGTGACAAAAAATAACATTTTATACTCTTGATGGATATTTAAATTAGTTCAACACTATTAAAATTAGTATAGAGGTTTCTCAAAAGAGTAGAAATGGAATCATCATATGTCCCAGATATAACAGAATTAAAGTATATAGAATTAAAGTCAGCATAATATAGTAACACAGGGATACTCATTTTTGTAGCAGTACAATTAACAATAGCAAAATTATGAAAGTAGTCTAGATTTCCATCAATGAATGGCTAAACAAAATGTGGTATATATACACAATGGAGTTTTACTCAGTCATAAAGAAGAATAAAATTATGTCATTTGCAGGAAATTTATGGAATTTAAAGGCATTTTGTTAAATAAATAGTTTACAAATGAGAAACTTAAATCGTGGATGGGCTGGTTCTTATGTATGGGAAATACTTTGGAACCAAGTTCAATACCCTCCACAACTTCTTTCTTTTCCACCCATCATTGAAGTCTCTTTGTTTGCCATGGAGAATTAGTAGAAATACCATTGAATACTCCCCTTGGCCACACAAGCAAGCATACCCTTCAGGAATGCTTGAGCTTCACCGGAGGCACCATCCCTCTTTTCAGATTCCAGTTCTCACAGTTGCAAAGAATAGCAGTTTCTCCCCACTCTCAAGGACTGCTTTATTCTCAGTTGGGAAGAGTCAGGCCTTCTAAAGAACAACAAATACAAAAATGGCATGTAAAACAAAATATAAACACACACAACACATTCAGCAGTGATTTGTTTTTTAACAAACATTTGAGTGAATGCATTATTGAATAGTCAGGTCAAATACACAGCATCTTAGAACTAAGCATGTAATGGAGAAAGACAGATACAAATATTTTTTTACAATAAGCATGTTTTACACAATGCTATAAGTTGATCACTAAAAAAAAACATAAAACAGAATACTGGGGATTGTATGTGAGTAAGGAGATGCAATCTTAAACAGAGTGGTTGAATAAACAAGGTCTTGTGTCATGTGGGAAGGGAGCAGTGTTGGTAGGGGAACAAAAGTACTGAGAACCTGTGTGAAGAGTTCATACCCACTTGAATATAATGTATGAAATATGATATGTCAAGAGCTTTGTAATGTTTTGAACAACCAATAAAAAAAAGAATACACATAAAGCTTTTGAAGGAGCATTAAGGAGGTCAATGAAACTGCAACAAGAGAGTTATCAACAGTGAGAAGATGAAGTTAAACAGCTAAAAGGGAAGCTGCCATGCATCCTGCTGAAGGACTATGATGTTAAAGATCAGAAAATAATGGTTTACAGGGAACATAATGTTTCGGTCAGTGAATTTTTACATTTGTATGCTCTCTGGAGTCCACTTAGCATGTCAAATTATAACCACAACTTTACTTAATACAGGTTTAGGAAGAGAAAAAGCTTTAATGTAATCTTGAAGATATTTTCTGTTGTTATATTGAGACTCTGCCTTCTGAGGGGAGGACATTTGAATAAGAGAGAGCAGTATCTTTTTGTCAAGTCTCCTTGTCTCCAAACAATGGATTCCTCCTTTCCCATTCCCTTTTAACATGTGGCCTCTAACCTGTGCATTTTTTTTTTCGTAAATTGATCATTTCTTTGTCACTAAAAGTTTTAACACTGACTTATCAGCATTGCACATGGTTATACAAACAGACATTTCACTCAGCTTTTTAATTGGAATAAGAATGCTTTTGGAAACACCTAAATGAAACTAAACATAATTTAAGTGAGGAATTTTTTACCAGGAGAATGAGTGCAGTTGACTGTTAAATATATCCCAGACATTGGGAGAGTAGGTTTCAATACATTTTTATTATATTGTCTCAAAGAACTCATGATATACTAATAAATAATTTTCATTTATAGATAGAAGTTAGATTGATTAGTGTGCCTGTACTAATTATTATTTTGTCACAAATATACGCTCCTGTGGAAGGAACATTCATTTGTTTTCATTCCTTTTAGGTTGACTTAGTCATATGATTTTGTTTGGTCACTGGAATGTAGGTAGGAGATTTAAAAACCATCCATGTTGCATTGGCTAAACCAAGTCACATGACTAAGCCCAACATAAATGGGATAGGAAATGCCCTTTTACTTCTTGAACAATTGTGCCAATATCCCAGATAAGAGTATACTCCATTAACCTTGGCCCAGAGTGAAGACATTATGAAGTATCATCTGTAGCTTACCATAGTCATGCAGACTAGTGGAATATAAATCTGTGAGCCATAAACATGAAATTTGTGTACCTGATGGATAGCAAATGGCCTATGTGTCAGTTATTATCATATTCTTCATCTTAATAAGCTTTTCTTTATTCCCAACTAGATTTATATTCTTGGCTGCAAGAACCATGTTTCTTTAATTTGCTTATTTTGTTTTGTTTCATTTTGGGGTCCTGGTGGGGATTAAACCCTGGACCTGGAGCATTCTAGGGAAGTACTCTACCATGGAGCTACACTCCAACTCAGGTGCCATGGCTTTTGGTTAGTATCTACTGTATTACTCAGAACACCTATGTGTACACACATCACCATAGTGTCAGGGTAGGTAATTCAAAATACTAATTTGAAGCCCAGGTCAGAAAAAAAAAAAAAAAAACATGAGTTGAAATCTGATCTTTCCATAAAGTGATCTGAAAGCTTTATTTAAACTCTCTAAACCCTTATTTACTCACCAATAAGTTAGAGGTTAATGAGATCCGACTTCAGGATTCATGAGCTTTAAGATAATATGCCTTTAGCACAAAGCCTAGTACATCAATCAATGACAATTTTTATTAGTGGATGCTCAGTACAAATGAAAACAATGGGCAAAGGGATTATTTTTACCTTATTACAATGATTTTCCACTTTTTCTAATATTCCAAAAATGTGAAACAAAACACCATCTTGTTTTCCATTTAGGTTGCTTGTTTTGTCCTGTAGATGTTTCCTATACATTAATATTTTCTCTCTAAGAGCACATCTGGGATAACAGGGTGTGTATGTGTGTGTGTGTGTGTGTGTGTGTGTGTGTGAGCATGCACAGAGTGTGGCACGTGTCATTAATTAATAATTATTCACAACTTGGTCTTTGAAAACCACAGGTGTTCAGCCAAATCCAGGTTTTATTTAGAAATCTCAGAAAACCCACTAATAGACTTACCAAGACAAAATTTACAACACTTCAAACTCTTTCCTAATCCCTGTGGGAAAGAAATGTTTGGCTATCAAGGGCTATTTCAAAACATCATATAAATTAGTATTCACAGTGACAGTTGGATATAATTCATTAGTTCACTAATAGTATCAACAAATAACTTCTTACAGTAAAAACAAACATCCTAAAGCAGATTAAGCTTGTGTTTTATTTTTTCTCATTCATATTAAATTAGTAGTCTGAGATTTCATAAATTCAAACATGCTTAACCTTGAAAAATGTTTTCCTTTGCCATAGGATGTCAAATTGTCCCTATAGAGAAAGGGTTTGATTTGGGGGGTGATATTTACCACAGTGAACTATGGAGTTTTGCATTTAAGTGGTTTCATCTTTGTCTTGTCTGTTCTAATGTAGGCATTGATTGTGAAGTAAATATAGATGAATGCCAATCAGAGCCCTGTCTCCATGAAGGAGCTTGTATTGATGGCATCAATCATTATATCTGTGCCTGCAAGAGTGGGTTTTTTGGAATGCACTGTGAAAGAAATGCAAATGATTGCCTCTCAAATCCTTGTCTACATGGAAGGTAGCTATATTTATTTTTTTTTCTATTATTAACTGTATGAAAGTATATTTAACCCACAATATTTAAGACTGACTGTCAAGAGAAAGTTGATAAAGATAATTTTAATTATGCTCTTTCATAAAACAAGAGCTTAGTACAGTTAAGATGACAGATGCTGCCTGTTTTAGCTAATGCAATGTACTGATACATTATCTCTGCCCTTCTTTTATTTCTGTTCATTAGCATAAAGTAATTTTCAATAAATGTGGATTAATTAGACTTTAATATGCTTAAAGGTAACTGCTCACAGTAATAGAAATAGCAGATACGATGATGTGACATTCTATTATTTGCTCTGTGGAAAGATAATACGGCATACGTAGTGTTTAAAATGTTCCTAAGTAGACTGGTTCTTTTATCCCTATGTGCATGAAAGGTATTTCGTGACTCTATGGAACTGTGTGACAACTCACCTGTCCATAGAAAGAATATTAGCATATAAAAATCGAGAACAGGGATATTTGTAGGAAAAGCACGTAGCAAAAGAAGACTATCTCAGAGGCACTATACTGTCAGCTGCAGCATTATTTTGTTTTTCTAGTCCTGCCACTGATTTTGTACACAGAAAAGGGAGGATTAAGGTGAGTAGCTTATTGCAGTGTAGTTTGGCCATAGCTGACTTCAGTTTCCTACATAAGCCCCAGACACACTTTATATCTTTCAGAACTGTTCCTTCTTTCCATTGCCATGGGGAAGATGGCAAAAATGAAAATTGATCAGTTCTTTCAGTTCAGTCACCTTCAAGGATAAAAAATCAGGAATAGACTCTGCTTTCTACTCCACATGGAATAGATAGAAATGCAGTGTGTTTATTTTTTTCCACTTAAACTAGAAATGAAAATGGTGAAGCTTTCTCAAACTATGTTTTAATGTTTACTTATTTAAAATTTTAATTTTAATTCTGTGTTCCAGGTGCATAGATCTCCTTAATAAATATCAATGTTCGTGCGATGCTGAGTGGACTGGCACAAGATGTGAGGTCAAGATTAATGTAAGTTTATACATTTATTAAATTTAAATGATAAAAAATAAAAGTCAAACTACTAATTGAACATTTCTTCTACAATTACTGAGTATTTAACTACTCTCTCCCCCTTCCTCTATGGAATTCCTCAGTTTCCTTAAAACAAACAAACAAAAAAAAAAAACTACAAGTAATAGATTCTTAATGTTTTTCATCTTCACATCATATTATCATAAAATTTTGCAATCTGGAGCCCTCCTTAAACTAAATCCTGGAAGTGGCCATTATCTTCAGGATCTCTCAGATGGCTTATATTTTCCATCTGCCACCTCCTCCCTTATCTTAGGTTACAGAGCTCTCTATGGATCTAAAGATGAGGCAGGGCCAAGTTCATCCAGACACCACAAGGAGGAAATAAAACTGAGCCAAGAGGTGGGTAACACCTGCAATAATCTCAGAATCGGTCTTCCATACTTCGGGAGTCAGGTGATATTATTGATACATAGTATTTTATGTGGAAAACCTTTTTTTTTTTTTGTTGAGAAATCTTGGTTGCCTGAAATGATAACCATCTGATTTTGGCAGATGGCAATCTTGTGAGACTTCCTGGAATAATGGGCAGGTCTTCCAAAGCTGCCTTGTCTGACAGTGACATGGCAAAGGAAGCAAATATAGATAAACCAGAGCCTTTGGCTTTATGCTACAATGGGTATTTTATTTAAGTCATTTGTGGCTCTCCTATCATTAGTAAAACATAGCTATAATGATTCCTGCATGAAAGGGTCATTGTGGGAAGGTGCACATTGGAGGTGGGATATACTTAGAAAATGGCCCTTTCCCAGGGAGTGAGGGGGTGATTAGAGGTATTCAGCGAGAAGTAGAACTGAATCTCTATGTACCTAGTTACCTGCTGTGTTTTCTTAATTAGACAAATTAGTTATATTCTGAAATCATATTTTAGTTATTCAGTGAGGATAATAACAGTAACTAGTTTTTTTTTTTTTTATTCTCAGGAGGATTAAATAAGATAATGCAAGTAAATTGATTAGCACATTTTTGGAGATGCATTGATTTTAAAAGGCTTAATTATCTATTGATATTTTATTACTTGGTTCTAGACAGTGAAAGATGCTCCTGATGTAGAAAAGGAAATGTAATTAATAAATTCCCCATACATCTTCTTTGCATTACTGCAAATATTGCTTTCTAAATACTCTCAAACACCATATTTCTTGGGAATATAAGTACCACATTCTTCTTTATGAATTAAAAATATTATTCAATAAATATTTTCTTTGATATATGAATGTCTACAAGAATTTGCACATAAATACACATTCAAATTTTTGAGGACAATTGTTCATATTCTTACTATGTGCATCTAGATGCTTTTTCCTTATATTTTTATTTTAATGTAAAACTATATTCATTATCTTCATTACTCAGTGACTTATTATATCTTAAGAACCATTTCATTAAAATGTACAGGGCCTTGACTCATTCTTTTCAATAGCTACAGAGTATTCTAAATAAATGTTAAACAACCACATTTGTTTAATGAGAATATGAGCACGCCAGCTTCCCAAGGTCCTATTAAATGAAATCATTTTAAAAAAAGTTCTGACTAATTTGATGAAGAAAACATAGCATGTCATTATTTTAATTTACATTTTCCCAGGTAGCTACCAATATTAATCACCTTTCCATGTGATTTTGTATTTATTTGTGTTTTATCTACTTATAACTGTTGGCTGGCAGTATTTGCATTTTTGGCTTGCTGACCCTTTTCTTTTTGGTTTGTATACATTATTTTAAATTATGGATAGTGTCCACTAGGTTCTGAAAAATTACAAATATTTTCTAGAATTTAGAAATTATTGCTTTTTACAACTTGTAAATTGTGAAATGTCCATAATTGTCTTTACCTTTCTCTTTATGACTGGGTTTTGCATCTCATCTTTTCGTGTAGCAATATTTAAGATAGTTTCTTATATTTTCATCTACTAAATTTTAGGATTAACAATAGTTTTAGTGCCTTAGCATGTAGAAAATATATTGTTATGATTGATAAAATATACCATCTGCATTAATTATCATAGTGCAACGAAGTTTCTTAAATTTGTCATTTTTTTCTCAATTACATTTAATATACTCTAATTGTAATTTTGTTCATTCATTTTACAAATATTGAATACTTATGAGAAGCCAAGAAAAAATAATTATTAGACACATTTTCTGCCCCACAAGCTGCAAAGTAAACTATCATCTATCTTACATATTTCCTGACCTATTTATTTACCTATGTCACATAATCCAGATAGCCTTTGAAGGACACTTGGAGATTAGTGTCCACATCTATCTTTCTAGGATAAAGAGACAAGAGCTGTGGAAAAACAGCATAGCTGAGGAAAAGATAGCTGAGGTCAATATGGGGAGAGTGTTATATGTAAAACTCTTTGGGAAGTAAAAAAAATCTTAGTTTATATTAGGGCTTGATGGAGGGAAATTTGAGCAAACTTTTTTTTTAATTCGTTAAGTTGAACATTGGATGCAAAGATTAAAAATTATAATTGATGCTTGAGAATAACAAACACGTGGCTGGATACAAATGAATGCCAAGGCTAGTGAAAAATTATAATTAGTGTTTTATGTATGCACACATGAACATACACACATATGGAAAAAAAAGAGAGTGGGATTTTAGAGAGTAGATATTTTCCTTTCAATGTGGATGGGGCAGAGAAAGGGACATGTGTCCTTCTCATGAAGCATGAATACAGGACAGTGATTTTTTTAATATCCAATCATAAATATATAAAAATATACTAATTTGAAATAAAATAAACTACAACTTGAGAATAAAATAAGAAATCAAGACATTCTCAGATGAAGGAAAACAAAATTTTTCATGAGGACTCATTATTTAAAAAGAACTAAAGGAATTTCCCTAAATAAATAAGAACTGATTAGAGAATTTTGCATGTTTGTATGCGGGTATGTGTGTATTTGTGTATCTTCAAGTGTGAGCTATAATTTATGAGGGGCTTTTTATAGTTATATGTAAAAATCTATGTGTCTACCATATATATACACATAGGTATATTTTCTTATTTTTATTTCCCTCTTATATATTGGATTCTGACAGTCAAAAGATTTTATGTTTTTTAATCCAAATTTACAAAATCACAAAATTCTAAAGGTGATGTTTTCTGTGACAGTTTTAAAAGAAACTTACTCAGAAATTCTTGTATTTTCTCATTATCTTTATATTTGATATTACGTGATTGGTTTATCGGAGTACTTTTTAGCCTAAAGTTTGAACAGGAAGCTCTCTCCCCAACTGAATGATCAGCCATTTTCTACAAATTATTATAGAGAATATCTATCTTCTTTATTGAAAACACATCTTTAAAATAAACAAGATCTCACAAATGAGAATGTTTATTACACACACACAGACTTCACACTTTCTCACTTAATTTATCACTGCAGTTTATTCTACACTAGCAAGTGTAGTTCTACTTTATTTATTACTATTTCATTGTGTGGAGGTATCACATTTAATCTGTAAAAATCTCTTGAATAGTTAAGATATTTTAAGTATATTGTTCTTAAAAACTCTATTTGTATCTGAGGTGCAGAATTTTGAGCAAACCATGCTCTATATCATAGTAGGAATAGTTAATAAATTTCCTTTTGATCTCATAGCCTGTTCCTTCCTCACCACACCTGTGTTTATTAAGAATGTTTCTCTACATATGCGCTGGCAGAATGTGGATGTTAATGTTTAATATATGTATTATTTGATTACACAATTGCTGTTATGTTCTCCTACGCTTTTGTTTACTGTGCCAGTTATTCTTCAGTCTTTTAGATAAGGGCAGATTTCTGTCACTACTCAAGCAAGAGTGAGCTCAAACTTTGTAAAACTCAGCAAAATAGATGAGGACAAAAGAAGATGCTTTTCATTGTCCAGCCACTCTTGGCCACCAACACCAGCCCAATATCTCTTACAGTGCTACAGATTCCTTAATATCAATGCAGTCAGTGTCTTCAACCTTTTTAATTCTATGTCCATGAGTGAACCTTCCCCTCACAATGCCATTGTGTTAGAGCACAATATACCCCTGAAATTTGGATTACATATTTGACATTTTTTTTAAAGAGAGAGTGAGAGAGAAAGAATTTTAATATTTATTTTTTTTTTAGTTATCGGCGGACACAACATCTTTGTATGTGGTGCTGAGGATCGAACCCCGGGCCGCACGCATGCCAGGCAAGCGCGCTACCGCTTGAGCCACATCCCAGCCCCTTGACATTTTTTTATTAGCATTCTTCACAGAATCATAACTAGTGGTGTGATTCAGTCATATTCTAAAAACCTGAGAACCAGGAAAGCAGATGGTGTCAATCAACTCCAGCCTGTAGGCCAGAGGGGAAGTGTTCAAATTGAAGCAGTGAGCAAGGAAAAAAGGAGACAACTCCTCCTTTCTATTTCTTTTGTTCTTCTCAAGCCCTGAAGAATTGGATGCGGGCTGTGCACTAGGAGACTGCCTGTTTTATAGACTCCTCTGATTCAAATGCTAAGTTTATCCAGAATACTCTTACATGCACATTCTCAAATAGTGTTAAATCTGGACACCCCAGGCAAATAGGGTTGATATGTTAAAATAAACATTATGGATTTCTTCTGCAACACTTTTTGTTTACCTGAGAAAAGAGGACTGTATCCAAAGTGTTAGTTATTTTTTAAAAAAAAATGTATTTGAACATCTTTTTGGACTGTGTCCAAAGCGTTTCCTTTAAAAAAAAATCCTGGTGTAATTTGTGAAATTGACATTCTAGATTCAGCTGTGATGAACTCACCTTTCCTATTTTTGATTTGTTTGTGCATTCCAGGCTATCTCTGGGAAAATTATTCTGTTTTCTTGTATTTTAGTGACCTTCTTTCCCAGAAGTTTTACCATATACACTTTCAAAAAAAGTTAAAATTTCTTGTAAGAATCCCAACTTTGATATTTCATAATCTTATTTTATTTTTTGAAATAACAAAGTGAAGCTGCATTTTATTTTCATGAAATTACCAAAAGTCAGGTTAAATTGGAAATCAAACAACATCTACCTTTTAGCTAATTCAGTTCCATGAACTTGTACATTTTGAGAAAAAAGTGAAACTGTTAACAAAAATTACATTGGAAATAAACTTCAAGTATATTAACCTTTACTATATACATTATCACATGTACAAATTTGTAGACAAAATATTTTTTTAAAAAGGAAGATACGATTTGGCAGTGCTTAGTCCTAGGTTGGAATTCAGAATATTTAGTTGTCTATGTGTTTTTTTCTGTCACTGTCTTGCTGTAAGACTCTGGCAAAGTCACTCTAATATCCTTCAGCTTCTTTTCATGCTTGTGAGTAAAATAAAACTGTTCTCGCTCCATTCTTGCTACTCAATAATAATAATCCATGTTTTGATAGCATCAGTATCACCAGGGAGTTTGTTAGGAATAGAAAAATCCAGGCCCCTGACTTACTGAGTTTTAATCTGCAATTTAACAAGCTACCCAGGGCATTCATGTGTGATTTAAGTTTAGCATACACTGAGCTACATTAGTAGTTTTGATTCGGTGCTAGACAAAGTTCCACAAGTCTGTGAAACTTAATAGGCCTCTGCTGTGGGAAAGGTAAGGGCCTAATAGATACCATATACTGTTTCTAGGCTTCAGGTAAAACAGATCCGTGTGTCTCTCTTTAACATTTTGTCTCTCTCCAAGATCTTTTCTGAAGACAGATTTCTACTTCTTACATATACCAGGGCCAAAAAAATAAAGCCTATGAAGTAATGAGAAAAGTATTATGACAAAGATGATCTCAGATAACTTTATTCTTCTGGGAAGTACAGAGGTCACAAGACAAACTTTAGAATTGCTTAAAACTCCATCTCTCAGAAAGACCATAGCTATGAAGTCAGTGAGATATCATCCCCTTTCATAGGCCAGCAGGCAGTTTCCTTTGACTAAGCATTCCACCATGAAGGACTGATGTCATTACTCTGGTATTCTCAAACTCCTGTACATTTCCTGGCATGACTTTTGAGCACAAGTTAATGCAGCTTAATTGTCCAGATCACCCTGGTTTGTGATGTTCCTCCCATTTTCCACCTCTTTCTCTCAAAACCCCAGGCTTTTATTTCTTTTATTTTCTGAAATTACATTAGTGAACTCCTTCTTAGGAAGCACTTTATTATATTAAATAGAGTGTAACGAAGTAATATGAATGATGATGAACAAAAGGAAAAGCATCTTCCTTGATTTTTGAACCAGGAAAGATTAAGAACTTCAAATGACAATTTGATTTTCTCTAAAAAGAAATTTCTTTTGTATTTCCCATTAAGCTTTCTAATTAATTTAGTAAAAGATTCTTGTAAACCCTAAAGACAGAACTCTTGGCAGTCTGAAAACTACCCTTGTCTTCCCATGGGAGATATAATTCAATTACTTTATGTAATGCTTTCTAATAAATCATTCTATATATATCCAGCCACAGGACAGAGAGGGAAACAACATTGTTTCTATGCCACTCCCTATGGAATTCTGCATTTACATTCTGTAAAAATTACTGTAGGACCTTCAGAAAGTCTGTGAAGTGCCCTTGGATATCCATACAGAGTTCACATTTTCAGCAAAGGTAGAACAAATATCAGAATGGCATCTATGACAATATATATTAAGTTCTATCATTCAGGTGAGTGAGAAAGATAACCATCTGGGTCCCAGGCATTATTTGAGTTTTATACTCAAGAGCACAATCCATTTCTTATTGAAAATGACACTAATTAAACTTTCAGGTAATTTTCACAAATCTTTAATTTTCCATTGGGTACATAATATGAATGTAATCTTTATTGTTGACACCTATTAAAAATCACTAAATATTTACAAACATAGGTATCAATTGATGACAGATTTAGAAAATTATAACCTTTCAAGGTAAAAAGCTAAGAAAGTATTTCATGTTTATATATACATATAATTATCCCTGAGGATGTAATAACTTAAGACCCTAGTGTACAAATGACTCAAGTTTGTGCATGTTCTTTGAGAAATTGTGTCAACAGCACATTGAGGGTTCTTTTTAAACAGTTTTATTAATGATGTCATAACTTACCATAAAATGTTTCTCAGAAATATAGATCCAAATCATTTAAGTTGACATTATATTAGAAAATGATGTCATATCATGTTTACGATGTAAGCTTTCTATAATGTTAGTACATATACAACCTAAAAAATAAAAAAGCATATAGTATGGTATGATAGAAAATAAGTATACAGAGAAATAAATTTTCTACCCAAGGCAAAGGCAAAGTGACTGCAATAGGTACTAACAAGTTTGGCCCCAGAAAGGAAATGGAAGAAGTGAAGGAGGGCATGTACTGAACAGCTATCATGTGCTGGTCACAGTATCAGTTTGCTTTCTTTACATTCTTTATTTAACTCTCACAGCAACCTGTGTGAGGTTGGTAACTTTATCACCATCTAACAAATAATATACTTATAATAAATAGGATGACATTGTTGTATAAATAAGACAACTTTAAAAATATTTTGAAACCTAAATGTAACAAAAAAAAAAAACTATTACCCAGATATCTCTTTTTATCACAGAATTTCTATGCTTCTAAGATTATAGGTATTAGAAATACTTGACATAAGTTTGGATTAATGTGTGGGAAAACGAAAGATTACAACTGGGGCTGGGGACATGGCTCAATTGGTAGAGTGCTTGCCGCACGTGTACAAGGCCCTGGGTTCAATCCCCAGGACCACACACAACACACACAAAAAATTATAATTACTATTATAAATGTTTTAGATTTATTAGAGGGACATAAGACAATTGTGAGATATCTGATTTAATGACGTAATCAAACCTACATAATTCCTTTGAGAGTTAATGGATATCCTATTAAATCATGTCCCTGGAGAGTAGAGTTAAATTGGGGCTGATTGTGGCAAACTGGGACATACCATGAATACTAAGGGCAGTGATCCCTGGTTATATTATCTATAGAGGAAATTTGCTGTATCATTTTCATTAGGAGGAGGAAGAGTTGTCTAGTAGGGTACATATTTTAATAAGGCCAGATAGTTTCTTTTTTTGAAAAGTCAACAATGGAACATTTGACAGAAAATTTCTGGTAATCAAAAGTAAAAATCCTTTATCACTATAAACATATTTTGTTTCTTGGAAGAAAGAAATATCATAAAAGCTTGCAGATTGGTTCCTTAAAATAGTTTTAAATAAGCATAATTTTAATAAAGCAGTCTTACCATTAATAATCACATTTTATTCTCTGTTTCCTAATGTAGGACTGCACATCAATTCCTTGTATGAATGGGGGCTTCTGTCAGAAGTTGGTTCATGGATTTACTTGCATTTGTCCACACGGATACACTGGTACACACTGTGAAAAAATCATCCATAGTTGTCCTGAGCCTGATCTAAATTTGGTCCTCTGTCTGAATGGAGGAATTTGTGTTGATGAACCTGGACCCACTTTTAAATGCAGGTCAGCTTTTATAATTTTCAGAATTAACTAAGTATGTATATGTTTAAGAGTGTACTTTGAAACATGGATATTAAGTTTACATTAAGTTTTCATCTTAAATATATATAATCACAAGTTTGAAAATCAATGTTTACCATAAGGCATTAATATATTTTCCAAATTCTATTTATTCATATCAATGCCAGATTTCTTATTTCCCTGTTGAATCACATTTTAATAATAAATGTTTCATATCTCTTCTCTTTCCTGGAAATGGGTTATTAATTTATAAATGTTTGACATTTATACCATAATGTTTAGCCAGAGATTTCTTTCTGTTACTAAAATACCTATTTTCTAAGACTAGAAGGAGATAACTAAAATTTTTGAGTTATAAAGGCAAATTCATGTATCACTGCATTTTATTTATTTATGTATTTATTTAGTTGTAATTGGACACAATATTTTATTTTTATGTGGTGCTGAGGATCGAACCCAGGACCTCGACATGCTAGGCAAGCACTCTACCGCTGAACAACCATCTCAGACCCTATCACTGCATTTTTGAATGAATTATTATTTAAGAAATAGTTCTTAACTTCTTTGGAGATGAATTTTAGTTTTCTTAGCTTTATGATCATATAATGTATGTAATTGGTGTTTTAAGAATTTAGCTATCTGTTCAATTATAATAAGTGAATTGAACCCAAGTATTAGGAAAAAAATACATTTTTACCTCTATTTTTTCTACTTCAATCTAATGTGTGATAGGCTGATATTAAGTTAAAATCTGCGAACAGCTGTGTTTCTGTCACAGTATCTTAAATTGTTGACAGTTTTACCATGTATAATTTAGTAGTAATAGTTTACTAGTAAAGCATATCTGTTATTTTTATATTGCATCAGTTATTTATCCTTTAGAAAATGTATTCTGTCTTATATTAAATAGTGCCACTACCATATTTTCTTTGTTCAATTCTAGAGTATATTTTGCCCATTTATTTATTTTAATCCCTGCTATAGCTTTTTTTTTAATCTCTCATAAAGCACATAGGTAAAAAATTTTGCATAAACTCAAGACTACTAACATTTCATATAGCATATGCAAAACATGTTTATCCTAAAAAATATTATTAAATATGTATTGCCTAACATGCCATCTTCATTCGGTATACATTCACACATACGTACACACACACGTGGGTACACACTTATGTGTATGTGTATATGTATGTGTGTGTGATATTTATAATCCTACTGTCTCTCATGTATCTTGTTGTTTTTAACATATATGTTTGTTTATTGTACTTTGGTAGTTTGATAAAAAGTAGAATACATTTTTAGTACAAATGGAAATTGTATGAAATATATTTATAAAAATGACAACTGCAAGGGTCCTCAGGATTATAACCTAGAAAGTGTCTGGATTAAGCAAATAAAAGCAAAACAAATATTCATCCCAATGAATGCAATGTTATAAATCAGGTTTCATCCATGGAAATCTAATTTGTTCAAATAAAAATAAGCTCCTAGATTTTTATAAATATTACTTTTAGGGAAAATATTATCTATGGATTAGCTAGGCTGACCTTTCTTGAAGCATAAATCCAGTGGAATTCAGATTGCTTCTCTTCCTGGCACATCTCCCAGGGACAAGCATAGACATTCATTACACTACAAGGTTATTCAAATTGCATTTAAATTAGAGTCATCTGTCTCCAAAAATTTCACTGTTGATTCAATGTGTCTGAAGGCCCCTGAAAGACTGTGAATGGCACTGCCCGGGAGGTGCAGTTTCTACAGGGACTTTTATACTTCACTGTGCAGAGTCATCAGGGTGCAAAGCAAACACCGTCCTTACTTTATTCCAGAAAAAACTCAGACGTTCTGGGAAGGAGCATTTTACAAGTTAAATCACTAAATGTTTAGATGTGTTAAAGGTTATTCAGCTATGTTTATTTAAAGTCATAATAAGATAATCAGTTTTCCTTTACTTAAAAAATGAAAATGCACTTTGCATTTGGAGTGCTATTTTGCATTCTACAAATGGAATCAAAAAGAAAGATCTCATTCTTAAAAATCTGGGAAAACATTTTGTTACTATCTTTTCATCCTAATTTTGCTTCAAAATTTGTACAGATCATAATTATATGTGATATTCCTATTTTTAGACTTGCTAAGGTTTGTTTACCTTCTACTGGAAAAATAATTATCCAAACAAAACTTCAGATTTTTATTCTGGTAGTTATTTTGATGCAAACTATTATATTAAAATATTTAAGCCCTCAATGAATAATAATATAGAATAATATTCTATAGGACTGGTTTCTTACCAACGATTTTAGGAGGACCAGTTTTCTTCCAGCATAAATCTTATGATGAATCACATTTAAAAAGAAAAAAGATTGGGATACACTATCCCCTAAAATTCCCTAGCAAATTGGAAATTGCCAATCTAAAGTATTTCTGTGTTGCTGGCTTTGAGTATTCATTACAATGTGGTGAAGTGCACATTTCTTAGATCTTTGAAGTTTATACAGTAGCTGTGTATATTTTGTTTTAATCTCCATTGTTGCAGAAAATAAAGCAGGGTCTATTTTTATAAATGTTGTATATTTTTAATTCATTTGATTGACTTTTTTCATGGAAGCTGACATGACTTTTATTTCTTTAATAAAAAAAATAGGAAATATTCATCCCAATGATTGCCAAATAGAGAACTTAAAATTTACATCCCTTCAGTTGTTTCATCTTTGAAATTTAAAGCGTTTAATCAAAATATATGAAAATTATATATTTATTTTATTTATTTCTTTAAGTCTGGAAAGTTTTGAAAACCATTCTTTTACTTTGTTATTTTAAAATTGATTCATTCATTCTACATTCTACTCTGGGGACAACCATTGCTTCCATCTTGTGTATCACATACTTAAACTTCATGCAGTTCACTTTCGTTCTATATTTATGACATTTTTCATTCCTTCTAAATTCTTAATTTCTCAAACTTTTATTCAATACCCTGAACTTCCTATCCTAAAGAATAGTTATCCTTTTACTTTTCAATCTTTATAAGCTTTTAAATAAGGTCGTTTTAGAGTAACAACTTAACAAGACATATTCTTATCTTCTGTTTACAAAGTAGTTTTTTTTTTTTTAAGAGTTCAGTTTGTTTTTAAAAGTTCTTGTCAGTGGGTTTATCTTTTTTTGTTATAGAATTGTGTAAGTTGACACTGAGTCTCAGTTACTACCATTTTTTATGCCTGCCTTATTAATCTTCTTTGCTGTTACCCTGATCTCATAAAACCTCTCTTGTGCTCTGACTCCATTGGTTAGACTCTTCATTGAGTTATCTCTGTGTGTACAAGACACTTTTAAATAATAAGCCTGACCTATTAAGTAATGGGTCAGATGCATGCATCAGTGCAGAGGCACATCTGTGAAAGCCTATTTTCACTCCATGGATTTTGGCTACTGAAATCTAGGTTGAAATTGCTAAGCAGTACGGTCCACTGGAACATCTTCCTTCTACAATGAAAATTGATCTTCTAGGTTACAGGCACATTAGACTCATAGTTTGATAATTTATAGTTTTCTCATTAAAATATTTTATTATCTTTCTTTGATTATTGTGTGACTGTAACAGTGGTACATAATGATAATATGTTCAGTTTTCTTTCTTTCTTTTTTTAAAATCTTTCTGAAGCAGTAGTTAAATTCTGAAAAATATGGTAGTTTCTATAAGTGAAAAGGAAAGGAAGGGAAAGGAATTAGCTGGCTAAGCCTGAATATATGGAATGTAATATTGATGACTGTAAAATGAATGAACCACTAACATATAGTTAGTTTCCTATTAGAGTAGAAAATGTAAATACTGAAATAAAAACATTAACTGTTTCCAGCAAAGCAAGTTACAATTACCTTTAAATGAAAAACAGTTACTAAAATGTTAGGTATACATTACCACATAACTTTCAAATAAGTTTACAACTGTACTTCAGATGATTTCTGGAGAAATTAAAAGGCGTTTTAAAACTGACTTAATTTTAGTAATGCTTTAGGCAAACTCATGTGGTTAAATGGTCTAGTGAAGAAATATCAATTTAACAATATGCATGTTTAAAATATAAAAAAATAAACTTGATTGATGATGGGAGATTTTTGAAGTCTTTACCATTCATAGATTTTATTTGTTTAAAATACTTGAAGGGCTGAGGGGTATAGATCCATAGTAAAGCATTTGCCTAGCATGTAGGAAGTCATGGGTTCCACCACAGTGTCTTTAAAAACTTACAGATTTTATAAATAATGAAAAGGAGGGAGCTTAGATTTCTGAACACAAAGTAATGATGAGAAGATGAAAATGTTAATTACCCAATTTGATTAGTAAATGCAGTGTGGTCTGAAATATGTAACAAGTATAATATATGGAACAAAATTTATATTTGTTCATAAAATTTTTAGAAAATTAAAAACATAATATTTGATCATTTCATCCCTATTTGTAACCCAAATGTATGTTCCTTGTTGATTTACTGACTTTTATAGCTGAATGAAATAGAGATTACCCCTAGCAACCTAGATATTGCATAGATGAGAAACCAAACACCTAAGAAGGTTGTACTCTGTCAAACACCTAAACAGAAGCCAGAGTCACTGGGAGAGTTAGTATTTGAATTCAGTGCCTTGCTTATTTATTTCCCTTATAGTACTTTTGATTTAAAATAAAAAGAAATATATGCATTGTAAGAGAAGCACAAACAGACATCAGGACTATTCTCTTCTAGAGGCTGTTAAACATCTATTCTTGTACTTTATATCCCAGTGCAAAGTTTAAAGACATTAATGACTTTGTTCAGTTTAATAATAGCTGCTTTCAGAAGTCCATAAGTATTATTAACCATGTGTAACAATTTAATAGCATTTTAATGCATGCAAGTTTTATTAAACCATAAAAACTATGTTGAAATTACACTAAAATCCAAATTAGACTCACTTAGCAGAGGACTATAGAAATAAGTAAA